TTTATCAGGTCATGGATACTTTAAAAGGGGCCCCCACCCTGTAATAGTGGTATAATAGGGAATATAATAGGGCCCTAATATAATCCTTATAGTCATTATTACAGGGTGGGGGCAGCTTCTAATGGATACTCCCAAAGGCTCCTATGTACTGTTATGGGGGATACTTCCCTGGATCATAATAGTAATTCCTAATATAGAAACCCTACATTCTACCATACAGGTACTTAGGACCCTTTGGGAGGGTGGGGGCAGCTTCTAATGGATACTTTAAGGCGAGAGATCGGACTTGAGGGATGCTTAACTGGGACTCGGGGGCACCGGTGCCTTGAAGCAGGTAGGGTTCTTTTGCTACGGGTTTAGGGTTTAGGGTTTAGAGGTTTAGGGTTTAGGGTTTAGGGGTTTAGGGTTTAGGGTTTAGAAACAATAGACAGAGCCATATATACCTACAATCCCTGAGTAGGAATTTTTTAAGAAGGTCTACTAGCCGGTCTGTTAATTCTTTTAGCATGAAAAAGGACAAGGCTGGCTGCATGTGCAGTGAGAAACAAGGACTTTCAACCCAGGGCTTGGGGTTCCCCGTTGCCCCGTAGTGATAATATATGGGTGGTAGTCAAAACTAAGGTCCCTTTTTGGGTACCCTAAATAATCAGTGCCGTATTATAATAGGGACCCAAAAAGGTGCATTAATTTTGACAGCCACCCATATGACATGCACAATGAAGACTAAGTCCTATGGTCCCTAAACCTATGGGGCTGCAGCAAACCCTAAAGGCCCTGAACTCAAAACCAGCTCTAACATCCTAAAACCCTAAGCCCTGGTTCCCAAAAAACAACTGCGGTTGCAAACCACGAAACGAAGGACTAAACACCGAATCGAATGTCTCGGCTGCATATTTATAATTAGCCAGGAAGGTTTCACTAAGACTGAATAGTTCGAACCGGGATCCTTCACAGCTTCCTTGTGAAGGGGTCACTGTGAGGGTTCCTGACGGGTTGTAATATGCGTGCCTTCATCCTGAAAGATTACGGAAGGGCTTTGGGGGTACATTCCACAATAAGTTCAGTGTATATAACATTAGACCACAGGGGCATACCTCTAGTAATTACTGTCACCTCTATACTACTCGAAAAGTATGGGCATATTGTTTGAGTACTTCGGCCCTGTAGCTGCTACGGTCACTTCGCCAACGTTCAAGATTTTGTCATGGGGCGATTGGGCGGGTGGGTTTGGCTTCAAGTCTCTTGATGTTTGTGTGCGAGAGAAGCATTTTTTGGGCCCGGCTGGCGCAGCAGCTACCGCATTCTGCAGTTTTCATTTCCACAAACCGACACCCTAATAATGGCACAAGATGCTCCATAACCGTTGCAAACCAAAAACCCTGCTGAAAGGCCATGACATTTCTCTTTGGCTTTCAATCCGGAGTACACCAGGAACCTGATCAAGAAACCCTGGGCCTATGACCCCAAACTAGTAGGATTCATGATTAGTCCTACTAAAGGCCCAAGATTTCTTAATCAGGTTCCTACAAAAGAGGTCATGCAGTCTTGACACATCGAATGTTCCTCGTCTCACATTCTGGGCTTCGTGGGAAGGCGATAGAGTTATGGCTTCTACCTGAAACCCAAATGGGTCGGTGTCAAAATTATGGTCCCTTTTTGGGTACCCTAAATATGAGGTGCCGTACTATATGTTAGGGACCCCAAAAGGGGCCAGAATATTGACAACCACCAAAATGTAGACCACTGACAGAAACACCCTCCCGCACCAAACAAGTATCATTTTGTCGTTGTAATGTACTGGAGTTTCCGACAATAGGGGACCCTAATATAGTACCCTAAATAGTAGGATCCTTACGTACTATAAGGACCCCAAAGTAAGGTACCCCCCCACCTTTCGGCACCTCCCATATGGGGTGTACTAGTCAAGGGTCTACGCTGCACGTGGTGGTGCCCAGACCTTCCAAGACCCCCCTTATCAAGGAATATTCCTTACATCAATTCTGGATCCTACATAGAGGCTCAAACCTTGCCCCTTTTTTAGGATACCTAGTTTTATGGTTAGGATCTCTTGGCTTTAACCTAAAAAAGGGGTAGGGTATGAGCCTCTAGGTACTATAGTGGAAGGGGATATTGGAAGGTCTGGGCAGTTTCTGGCCCAAGTCGCGTTGCTCCGAGGCCACCAGCTAAAAGAAACCGTGAAGCCATCATCCGCGGCACAACACCCGCCTTGGAGCTGGGAAGCCACATGCGTACAGGATCTTTAGTAGAAGGGGCTTTCTACTGCTTCGAACTATACTTAAGCACCAACGCCCCTAGGAGCCAGAATAAAACAATGATACTTTTAGCAATCCCTTGAAGTTTAAGCGCTTTATCCTGAACAACGAAAGAAAAACGGAATTCCTAAGAGTACTAGGAATTATGTCAGGAATTCCTTGAATACAGAGTCCAAGTACCCAAACTCAGGGCCTTGGACTCAGTACCGCACTTTGGGGTTTTAAGGTCTAGACGGTTTGGGACTTTTGAGCAGGTCTAGACCTTTCTGATCCAAAACGGGGTGCAGGTTTAACGAGTTTACCGCTGAATGCGAAATCCCGCTGCGTTGCCGGGTGTACTTAGAGGATCAGGGGACTTCGCATGTAGTGTTATAAGTAAGGTAGCTACAGTTCTGTCGACTTCGTAGGCAGGTTATAAGTGAGGTAGCTATACTTCAGCCCTACACCCTTGAACCTACCCAGATCCCCCGGGAGTGTCCAAAAAGTAGATCCCTTAATGGGGGTTCCGATAAAGTACCCTTAGTAGCATAGGGGCCCCGGTTTAGGGTTTAGGGAATCTACTTTCTAGATCCACCCGGAGGTCTGGGTAATAGGGGCTCCCTCCAAGAAGGTCTGAAGTTTGACGAGCTCACAAGAGCTCCCTTCAAAAAGGTAGGCTTTTTGTGCTACTAGATGTGGAGGCCGTTCCGTTTGAGTGGCCGTCTTACCGGCTCTAGTCTTTGTAATACGGTTGATGATATAAATCCTGCATTACCCATATACCATATAAGGTAATGCATGAATTGCATCATCAACCGTATGCCACTCCGGCTTTCTAGAATCCCGGTAATCCTCAGTGCTCTCACCCCCAACCCGGGTTCTTGTTCAGGAGTTCAAATTAAGCTGCCACACTACAGAAATCAGGCCATATAGCGCTTATTCCTCAACAAGAACTCACAGAGACCCCTAAAGCCGCAAAACTCTGCCGCCAGATGCCCTGTCTTACTATCAAAGACAGTCCATATATAAAACTATTATGGACTCAAGTCCCCGGAACCATGATAACTGATAGGGAGGGCGTCTTGGGACCTGTTGTTTCTATTGTTGCAGTATATATGGAATCTCTGGGTAGCCGGGTCCCCACGGAACACAAAATAAAAATAACTCGGCTGCCACGGTAAGTCTCAGCCCAAGAAACCAAATCCAAAACTCTCAACACTAAGCTGTACTGAAATCCCAAATCCCAAACCCTAAACCCCTAAACCCTCAACCCTTATCCCTTAATTGGAATCCCTGATTCGCAGCCCAGAATCGGCGAGCGCCGCACGCCAAGATGTGCCAAAGGAGGCACCGAGTCCGTAGGCAAGGCCTGGCAACGCTGTTTGGGCTTGAGCGCTGGGGGCTTACGGTTTTGGCGTTAGGACTTAGGGCTTGGGTTTCAGGATTCGGGCGGACTTCTGCATACATAAGAGAGAGAGAGAGAGAGAGAGAGAGAGAGAGAGAGAGAGAGAGAGAGAGAGAGAGAGAGAGAGTTATTTTGGTTTGCTAGGATTGTCGGCACGGCTAAGGTGTAGTGGGACTTTAGGGCACCTACCGTCGCCTACCGTGCCAGGATCAGGGGCACTGTTCATTGTGGCTCAAAATCCCAAGCTTTTCAATTTGAAAAAAGTGTCACAATCATCTATCTCTTCGATAGCCTTCATAACGGATCTCATGTATCAAATTCGCAAGTAGTTCGCTTCTAGAATAGAATTGAAACAATAAAGCTCATTAGAACTCAACCTCCCCCGAATAATGACTCGAAAGTTGTGTTCAGTGTTGGGGTGGAGGGGTTCTCTCTGCTGTGTCTTTGGGTGGATCTTTCTCTCGCTCCCGGTTCACACTGATGGGTACGATGCTTCACTCCATCCGAAGTTCATGACGATGACGACGCCAACAAATACAAAAGGCTCTGGGGTAAAAGTTATAGTATAGTTTTGATAAGGAGCTATAACCCTAAGTGTCCAAAGGACCCAGTAATTAGCATAGTAGCTTTGTAGGTTAGGATTTCGGAGAGTATATGATAATTGGGTACTTGGACCCTTAGGGTAAGGCCGTAAGGAACAATGTTGGAAGGTTTTCAGGCTTCTACGTTGGCTCCCTGCACTCGGCATGGTTCCTTTCAAGATGCGTTATGGCGTGCACTGATGTGGTATTTCGCGTGGAGCAGGGTTTGAGCATCCCCGTTCTGAAGGGAAACATGTTAGGAGAGGGGAATGTGCAAACTTTGAGCTTGTGGAACCTACGACGGCACACTTGTTGATAAGCTTCGGACACCTTATTTCCCGAACCGCGGAGCGCTGCTGTTGCACATGTCGAATTCCGAACCCTTGTGGTCGCCTGCCAGGAACGAACCCAGCTGCCTTCTGCGTCTTCGACCACTCCGGAAAAGCTGTTGCAAACAGATCGCACAGGTTATGCCAGTGAAACTGTACCGCAGCTTGGGCTTATTGAGCTTGCTGCCCGAACATCTGAACCCCTAAACCCCAAACCCCCTGTCACTGATAGTTGTGATCGTGTGGAGGGCGGCTACAGGGTTGAGCCTGCACAATGTTACAAGCACTGCTTGGAGGTTTATGGGTAGTTGTAAATAGGGTTATAAGTTCCCTAACATAGGTTATACCTATAGTTAACCTACTTATAACCCCACGTATAACTACTCATGAACCTCCAAATAACTACTCTATTGCCAGCTCTCGCCCCCAAACCCTAATCAGCGCTCCGCGATGATATCTCCACCAACTCGGCAAGCTCGCTGGGAGCCCGTGGCATCTTTTCCTGGATTGGAGGCTCTGGGGTATTTGGCTACAAGTAGAGGTGCAAATAGCCCCAAATGAAGAATGCATACATGGTGGCTGAGTTCATATGCCCCAAGCAAGTGTGAACATCCAGGAGACTGTATTATCCCCCAAAACTGTAAGGCGCAATCATTCAGCTACTACGTACAACCTTGCTTAGCAAGTTCCCAGATCCTGAAAGAGGAAGACAAACGTGTAAGGACCAAGGTTAAGAGCTGAGACTTTCGGGTTAGGGCCAGTTAGGGTACAGGGCCTAAGTTTAGTTTCGGGTTGGGATCCTGATAAAAGGACAAACAAATAGATCCCCTACACATTGCCTTGAAGACAGCGGCTTCGAGCGGCCATCACACACCAAGGATAATGCGCTATGTTGAAGTTCTCGGGTGCTCAGAGCTTGGCCCAAAGAGTCCTAGGTATTGTTTTGGTGGATATGTCGCCAAGTCTGATTTGTAAATGTTGATATCGAAACCTTACATTCTACGACATAGGTACCCCTAAAGCCCTAAACCTTATAGAAGCCCTTGAAGGAACTCTTACAGGAACCGGGGCTTCAAATATCATCCTCGAGACCTAATACTATAATCATGCTGTCATAGCAATAGTAACATATGAACTGAATACCCAGAAGGGGCCCTTTCATAGAGTCCTTATGACCCGTAATAGTATTAGGGTATATTGGAGGGTAGTTGCGGGGTCTAGATAGATCCTGAATCCTAGACCAGCACCCTAGCCGCTCAGCCTCTCTCGCCTCCTCGAAAGCTGACAGGCGTTTAGCAACTCTTCTATGCTCGGGTCCGGGAACTTATGTGGGTAGGGCTTGGGTTTCGAGTGCGTGCTTGTATCATGCATATACAGTGGCTTAAAGTTACTCTACGTAGCAATCCTTTAACGCCAAACCCTAAACCCTAAACCCTACATGAATGCTTACTCAGAGGATCGCGGGGTGCTGCGTAAGTAAGGTCGATTTAGGGTTTAGGGCGAAGCCCTATGGAAACCTCACAGAAAGCCTCCAGAACCGATTCAGTTCAAAGACCATATATCTTTGTTTCAAACACCTAAGCCAGACTTTACAGGGTTTCTTAGGGCTTCCTTGTAGTTCATTCATGCGTTTTTTTGCAGGGAGCCCAGGCAGCCTGCGAAGAAGAGGCTTAAAGAGGATCCCCTTAGCCCAAATTTAGGGGAACTTAGGCGAGAGCTCAGCGGCGGCCTGGCACCCAAAACCCTACCCCTAAGGCTCTAAGGACTCATATATTAAGGCTTTTGGGCCCAAAGACCATACTATATAAGGCTTTTGGGCTGTTTTGAGCCTCAGGGTACATGACACATTACAGGATAAAAAGCGCCCACAAATCCTCAGGATTGTGCTAAGCTCTGGAAGTCGGTTTAGGGCTTATAGGGTTTAGGGTTTAGGGGCTTGCTTAGGGGTTCGGGGTTTCATCGCATTCTGAGGCCTTCTGTTCTAGAGAACAAGTATCTACTCACTGAGGTCCATGTACCCCAAGAGTATATGTAGTCTGGCCCTGACGTAGTCTCTACATAGGCACTTTGGGGCCAAAGTCTATACTATACCCTTTCTTGGAGGCTCATGGGTAGTTATACGTGGAGTTACAAGTCCCCTAGCATAGGTTACAAGTATAGTTATCCTACTTATAACCCTACTGACAACTACCCACGAACCTCCAAGAAGGGTACTGACCCGGTTTCTGCGAGGCCCACTTTAGAGGTGGCATGGGGCTGCTGGAAAAGTCATGGAAGATTGAAATTTGGCGATAAACACAGATGTGCAAATACATACATGTATATGCATATATATATATATATACATATATATATATATATATATATGATTACAAACATTTCGTTGTTTATTTAGAGATCTAAATACATATCTGTTCTTTGTTTGTTCACACACACACATATATATATACACATATGTATATGTGTGTCTGTTTATGCAAGAATACGCAAATCGATATGTGTATTCTGCGTATATAAGTATTATGTAAGTAAGTGTGTATACATGTATGCATGCATGTATGTCTACTGCAAAGCTCTGTTTGTCTTTGTATCTTCAGACCTTGCCAAGACAGATTTGCGTCCGAGCAACCATGAAGTACATAGTGTTGGTAAAAGCTTTATAAGTTCGGGGGTTTAGGAGATGTAGGGAAAATCTATTCGGGTTTAGGCATTCACTTGCTGGTAAGACTATGGTTTAGTATGTTTATAGACTTGAGGTCTTTGGTTTAGGGATTAAGGGTGCTCAGGAATCATTTGGGATATACGGCTAAGGGATTCAGGGTTTTGCTTTAGTGGTTTAGGGTTTATAGGAGTTTAGGAAGCCGTAAACCCTAAACCGGCGCCGAGTGTCTTCGAACCGCAGATCACGAAAATGCAGCCACATGTACCCGCGTCTTGACCTCACTGGGTTGGCTTTGGACTTAACAGAAACCTGAATAATCAGAATGAACTCCCGCAAGAGATTTAAAGGGCTACTATAGGGATTATCAAGACAGCGTCGTGCAGGGGCCACAATAGCTAGAACAGGGCTGCTTTTCAGGGTCTTGTGGTATCTCCTGGGGTTTCATGTTAAACAGAACCGTCTTCATGGTTGCTTAAGGTTAGATCTGGGTCAGAATACAACACAGCTTGTGAGAAACATGTTGTTTGTGAACATTCCCAGAGAGCCCAATACCCCTTAATTGAGGAATATAGCTTATAAAACATAAAAAGACGCCCTATATAATTCAAGCCAGAATCCTTAATTAAGGGTATTGGGCTCAGTGGGTTTAACCCTGAACACTGAACGCAAAAACTCAAAACCCGAAAACCCGATACCCATGTCCACTGACGAACTTCGTTCTACGCCTCCCTTGACTGTGGTGGAGAGCGATACACCCATGTTAGGGCGCAGAGCTCAGGGTTTGGGGTTTGAGTTGGAGCTTAGGGCTAACCCTAAACACGAGAATCCAAATACTGTGATAGCACCTCCCCCCCCAACCTGCGCACAACGGCCTAATAACCGAAACTGATGACTTACGCCTAAACCCTAAGCACTACAAAGCCAACCTCACGGCTCTTTTTCATAATCGAGAGATTTTTTATATTCGATAATGCGGGAGTTTAGACGGCAAGCCAGGATCAGGGAATCAACACTTCTCCCCGTTCTGGGATTCCGATATGAGAAGGGTTTGAAGGTTTGAGTTTATAGGGGAACTACAGCGAATGATTGAAGACAAAATCATGTTGCAGCTCCCTGGGCATGTTCCCTACAAAGTGGTGAGGCTAAGCCCATATCTTGAGCCTTTGCAGTTCCTTTTCGGGGTTATCTTAGAAGGGGCCCCCACCCTGTAATAGTGGTATAATAGGAAAATAAGAGGCCCATATATAATCCTTATAGTCACTATTGCAGGGTGTGGGCAGCTTCTACGGGTTATCTTATAAGAGCTTAAACACATACGGCTGGTTAAACGATAAAGAGGGAGACTATCGGTACTCCTCAATCTGAAGACGAAGCCTTGACATGTAGAAGGCCACGACGAAACCCAAATAATGTAGAAACCTGATTAAGAAACCTTGATGCTTTATTAAGCTTCCTCATATGGATCCCACTATTTGGGGGTTCTAGGCCCACGGTTTCTTAATCAGGTTCCTACATTACTTACAGAAGCTCTCGCTCCCCTCCACCCTAAACCCTAAAACCCTAAACTCTAATCCTTTACAGATTCGCAGCATTGCACCCAAAAGTCTAGACGATTAAAAACTTTAACCAGAAGCCCTGCACCAAAAAGACCCTAAGACAAACACCCTAAAATCTAAAACGGCAACCAAAACCGTAAATCCCTAACACAAAACCGACAAACCAAAGCCTTACACCAGAAAGCCAGGTTCTAAATCCCAAACTCCAAAAGCCCTACAAGCCCCTAAAAACCCTAAAACCCTAAACCCCTTAACCCCAAAACCCTAAACGCCCTAAAAGACCCGAAGCGTTGCAGAAGAAGCCCCGGCCTGGCAGATTCCAGGCAAGGGTTTACGGAAACACGGCGAGATTGGATGTAACCCGACTGTCCTCAGGGGTTTAGGGATCCTTTAAAGGGTACTATAAGGGTTCCTTTAAGGGATCCATAAGGTTTAGGGCATCAGGTCCCTTTTTGGGTACCCTAAATGTCGGGTGCCGTACTATACCCTAATTTTGACAACCATCGATTTAGGGCATCAGGTTTAGGGTTTCAGAGTTTGGGGCTTTAGGGCTTCGGGTTTCAGGGTTCAGTGCTCAGAGATTTCGGCTTCAGGTTGTTTAGCGTTTAGGGTTCTAGGACTGTAGGAATTTTAGTTAGAAACTAAATTGCTCTAACTTCAACATCGCATAATAGGATCTTGTTTGCAGGGACACCGGAGAAGGGTACCACCCGATTTTCAGAAACCTAAAACCCGAAACCGTGAACCCCAGCGAAAGAACTCTGAAAGGGACCCTTACAGGAACTCTTCTGGGAGGCGTGTTTGTAGTGCAGCGTGTCTCTGGGTGGGGCCTGGGTTCCAGCCGTTACCTTTTGCGGCAGCAACCTACCGGAAAGGGTTACTGATTATGTGGGTTCTTTGTGTGTATATATATATATATATATGTACACATATATTTGTGAAGAGGTCGGTTTTTCGGGATGCAGGTATAGGGCCAGGGCTTTGAGGCTCAGTGTGTGATTTGGGATGTGGAGGCTTAGCAGTGTCAGGGTCGAGGGTGTAATCAATCGCCTTGCACGCGGTGTGGACGATTTTTCATAGGGACCCTTAGGGGGGTAAGGGGGAGGGGGCTAGGGGACTATACTTCCTAGACTTTATTAGGTCCTTGTTATGGGCATTAAGGCCCGCTCCTAACCCCCCTATGGGTCCCTATGAATTTCCGTCTTCGTTGTAATTCTTTTCATGGGTCGCACGCCTTTGCAAGGTTGACTAACCAACATACGTACTACAACGGTGACGATGAACATATAGGGTTTAGGGTTTAAGGTTTAGGATTTAGGGACAAGGCTTCAAGGCACATTTTACATCACGGCAACTACTACTTTCATTTCTACAATAACAGCTCATAGAAGAACTCCTGGATCCATGGCTCTACACCCGTAGTAGGAAACCCGCAAGGAATGCTAGTTACCTACCTGCATTGAATAACTGCCTTACTATCGTACCTATCTATGTATCTATCTAACTATCTCTCCAACTAAACAGATATCGACCTACCTACCTACCTACCCACCTATCTATCAATCTATGTATCTTTAAACCCACTGTATCATACTGTCTTGGTAAGGCCCAGGGTCGATCGAACGCCTTCACGTAAACTCTCGGCAGTTCGATCTGGCAGCGCTCGCCCGTAGCGTATCGGGCGATTGAGGAGCGGACGGTCTCCCAGTCCTCAGTCTACCTACAGTAGAAGCCAGAAAGTTGGAATATCATTATCGTAACCCCTTTAAGGTAACTTATAGAGGATCCTACCATTATTTCATATTCTAACTTTCTGGCTTTTACCTTAGAGGCTCATACCCTACCCATGTTTTAGGAGACCTAGTTTAATGGCGAAGATCTGTCATCTTAAAACGTAGGCGCCAAAAAACGGGGTAGAGTGGGCCCTTATACCCTTGCTTTAGGGTCCAGGTTCATTCCTAGGTTACTCTTAGGTCTAGACTTTGAGAGTCGGAGTGGCGGAGCCAAGCCTGTGTTGTTTTCGGGTTTGGGATCCTCAGTGTGAGATTGTGAGGCGTTTTTCGTCATTACTAGAGGTTGTGGGGCTCCCGCAAGCAGTTGCCGACTTGCTGGCAAGAGTCCTTCCGAGAAAAGTTGTTTCGTTTGCTCACTTGTAACAAGGCACGTAACAATCATAGCCCCCATGGTCTCTGTAATGCTACTCTACGGTACAACACAAACCCTACTCTACCCATCATCTTCTACTCATCAAGGCCCCTATAGCACAAAATTCTTCTCCTCAAGACCACAAAGTCCTTCACCACTTCCGGCTTCCTGTAAAGGATCCCTACAAGGAATCTTGAAGGAACCCTGATAGATTCCTTAAGGGAGCCCTGGTAGATCCATTAAAGGAATTGTAGCAGGCTCCTTTAAAAGGGCTTTCATGACAAGGGGGCCCCCACCAAACATGAATGCAATTGCTGGATGAAAAGATTGTGAACATTACAGTAAAAGCCCAAAAGTTGGAAAACCCAGAGCCCCTCCATCCGTAAGAGTAATGTATAGGGAATCCCAGCACTATTTGGCTTGGGGAAACCTTCTACCCATGCAGCAGGCAGAACACAACAAGAAGACAAGACCCTAAACCCTAAACCCTAAACCCTAAGCCCTAAGCAGCCCTGCGACGGTTGGACGAATAAACGACCGCAAAGGCGGCGTTGTGTCTTCTCCTGCTGCATCGCTTCTCAAGATTTACCCTAAGGCTCTAAGGGTTCATATAGGGTTCCTTTAAAGGGATCTATAAGGGGTCCTTTAAAGGGATCTACAGGGCTTAGGGATCTAAGGACTCATATATTAAGGCTTTGGGGCCCAAAGACCAATACTAACAATACTATATAATTAAGGCTTTTGGGCCCAGAGACCATACTATATGAGGCTTTGGGGCCCAAAGACCACACCATACAAGGCTTTTGGGCCATTCGGAGCCTTAGGGCAAGGTTTAGGGTACATGACCTGCGCTTCCAAAGACTTACATCATCCCAACCCCCTAAACTCCGAACACAAGAAATTAGCCCCCGAACTCCATGCACCGAAACCCTGCACCCCGAAAGTGTTTAACTTTCGATCCTCATACTGGACAGTTTAGGATTTAGGTCCGCCTGAACCGTAAACCCTAAACCCCCCATGCCCTGACCTATTAAGTTTCGGCTCGGAACCCAAATGTATGAGAGCCTTCATAAGTACGGTGAGGGGTCCTTGGGGCATCCTTCTTGGATACCTTAAATATTAGGTGCCGTACTATACATTAAGGACCCCAAGAGGGACCATACTTTGGACAACCACCCAGATGGTAATGGGATTTACCGGATAAGGGGTACTACTAGAGACTAGTCGAACCCTTACGTCGAAGCTGTGCTAGGAGGGTGCCCAGAGGCGCTGATTCTCGATTTCAGCAATGCGAACCCGAAACCGTAAAAAGTGCTTACAGGTCAGGGTGATGGGACTGTCGGGAAGTACAAAGCCCCAAGGGTCCAAAGGACCCAATAATTAGGTACTCAGGTTCAGGACAGTAGTTAAGTAGGTTAGGATTTTGGAGAGTTTATGATTATTAGAAACTTGGACCCTTGGGGAAGGCGTTTGACAAAAACTGTTGTGGCCGGCTGCTGGCTTCTGGGAGCACTGCACAGGGTCAGGGTCACAGCTTCTTTACACAAAAACCGTAAACGAGATAGTTTAGGGCTTAGGGTTTGGGGGTTCAGGGTTTAGGGCTGAATTCATCACAAACCGGTTCGGGAAGCCGCCCCTGTTACAAACTGCCGTGTAATTTGTAATTAACGCCGACCCCCAGACCCCCAAGTGAAGAATAGCTTTTGACACTCCGCGAGAGAGCCGGCTACACTGCCACAGGGGGGGTAGAGGGCACGGGCTAGGCTAAACAAGGATTTTCGAAACAGCTGCTCAAATTGACTTCGTGTTGTCGAACTGATCTTGACATCCTGCCTATGCCAGGGTTGAGGGTTTCAGGTTCGAATGTCCTGACAGCCCAAATAATAGTGGGCAACAGCTTCGGACAGCCCCTTATGGGAGGAAACGCGTGTTACGAAAAGTGGCGCATTTTACAACGCTCACCACCCAAACCGCATGTCTTTGGTTCGAACAGCAACTCTGCCGGGTGAAGCCCTGCAATCCATCCCCTAGTCGTTGCAAGAGGCAGTAGTGGCAACTACACCCAAAATAGTAGGATTCATTTCAGGAACCCGAATAAGGACCCAAGGTTTCTTAATCAGGCTCCTACATTTGGCAACACATCAGGGCTATACCAGTCCGCGGGTCCACTCTTGTTACTTTAAAGGGCTTAGGGTCTTGTTACTTGAAAGCTGTTCCCCCAACGGTCCAGCCCCTACAGTCTATAGGAACGAGTTGATAGCGAATTTTCAGTACAGCGGGCTCAACAAACTGAATCATTATTGTTTTGGCCACATTATAAAGACAGTCGCAATCAGGAACGAGCTGAAACTATATTAACGCATTATTCACGCCCCTGCATGAAATCAATCCCTAGACCCTGGATCCCAGATGTAAGTGCATGGGCCCTAAGGCGCTACTGGTGATGATATGAATCCTGCATTACCCGGCCTAAGCACCCTAAACTATGGCAATACTGGTATATTGCTTATTATGGGTAATGCAAGATTTATATCAAAAGTAGGGATTGATTGCCTGCAGCAGACGTCGAGGAACCTTTGTTCACCTGGGCCGTTCTGGGAGGCCCGGTCCAAAATCATGATGTGGGTATAATTGTATACTCCCCCAGACACGGCTTCAGGGTTCGGGGGCTCGGGCTTAGGACAAAGTAATTTAGAGAACTACCCATGTGTGTTGAAGAATATGTCGTTACGGCTTAGGGTTCGGGGCTTATACAGACATGTCCTGTACAAAACTGGAGGAACAACTTTTGTTTCCTGCAGAAGGCTACATCCTACAAACAAACATGTACCCTTAACCCTAAACTCCTAAACCCTAAATCCTAAGACCTAAATACTAAACCCCACACCCTAAGCCCTAAACCCTACACTCTACATAAACAAAAACATGCTGAAGCAACGCAGAGGTTCCCGGTATTTGAAATGAATCTGGCAGACCGGCTGTTGGCTGCCACCGCCAACGAGCATCATGAGCCTTGAGGGTTCGGGAGGTGGGTCGTTTCGACAAGTTTTGGGTGGTGAACACTCTGCAAGGGTTCCTTGAACGGGGCTCAAGGGATCTATGATGTTTTTTCCTCCGGTTTGCTCTGAAGAGCCTCGTAAGAGTAGTCCATGTACTTCTTCGGTTCCAAAATCCAATTCAACATACTTTCCGAGACCCAGGTACAGTACGGATTCGCTGTGTACTTTGGACTCAGAGGAGTCCGAGAACGTAAATGACCCTAATACGTATATATATATATATATATATATATATGTATATATATATATAGACACACATACATAAATATGTGCATTGTATATGTACGTATATATATATATACTATATACTATATACATATTGTATATAAATATATCCTAAAACAGTATGGTTTAGGGTTTAGGGATGAAGGACCCTGGTTGTAAGGAACTCTAGACAAAGGTATATACGCCTATAGTTCGAAGACTGCCGCAATAAAAGGTCGACGGTTCACGGCTCGTGCTTGGAGATCCCGGGACTTAGTTTACGTAGTAGGCTCAATATCACCTTGGCTGGATTACAAACGGTCATAAATAAGCCTATCTTTACCCAAAGGGTCCAAGTATCATTATGGTATACACTTGGACCCCCAAAATGCCCTATAAGTATAGCCCATAATGATACTTGGACCCTTTGGGTTATGCATACTAACTCCCCTGATCCATCAAGTGGGGCTTGAGGGCAGTGAGTGTTGCGCAAACGGCAGACTTCTGTCCCCACTGGCTCGACCGGGTCAGAGTTTATTTTCGGGTTCCCAAGCGGGATCCTATCAGGGTTATATAGGGTTAAGAGTTGATTCTGCAAAGCTTTGTTACGATGCCGATGCCTATGAAACTGAAGTCCAACACCATCCCATAAAAACTCAGCACAGGGGCAGCCGCTTGGATTATGTATGTCATACTCTTATATTCAAGCTATTCGGTTTCTAACTCTTCTACTGTAGCGTTCGTGGGATCTGAACCCAAAAGCCAAGACCCTAAACAATGGCCAAGCCACAAACCCCGTAGAAGCAGTACCCCACAAGCAAAGCTCCACCTGTGGAGCCGCAAACCCAACGCCTCATGGCCAATCTGAAGCAGCCCAGAAGAGGTTTCCTCAGAAAGAAACCTTGAAAGCAAAGCTTTGCTAGCATTGCTTGTTCTCCGAATCTTCCCCAAAAAACCCAACATCATACGTAAAACCTATCAAGATTATTGATGGCATGCCTGGACTTCTGACACTAAACCCTAAGAGCCCAACAAGACAAGTCTGTCGGCACAGCGGCTCTTCCAAATTCGAAAGGGTCCGCAGCAGGGTTCCGCCAGATCTTTGCAGGCACGAAGGGCTTCAGTTTGTTAGCTAGACCTAAGAGTAAAATAGAAATGAAACAGGGTGCCTTTTTTGGTTTAAAGGGGGTTTATCAAGGGCCTACTCTGGGTCCTAGTTTGGGTTTAGGGTTTGGGGATGAGTTCAAGGCTTAGGGTTGTGACTTCACGGCTGAGGGGTTTGAAACGAAGGATTTTTAGCGGGTTCAATTTAAGTTTAAAGCGTTTAGTGGCTCGTTTTAGAGCCTAATTCCTCCATGCTATATGGCTTTCATCACCCATTCTCCCCTATCTTATTAAACTGATCGACCGTACTCCAAACAAGAATAGTTTTGCTCGTTGCCTTGGAGGATCGGGGGTTTTTGGAAGAGTTATACATACTTGGAGGTTCATGGGTAGTTATAAGTAGGGTTATAAGTAGGGTAACTATAGTTATAACCCATATTGGGGAACTTATAACCTCACTTATGACTAACCCTGAACCTCCAAGTACCTGATGGCATACCTAATTAATAGGATGAACTGCTGTAAACAATCACTGTAAGTAAGAATCACAACAAGAGTTCCCTGATTACTTGTAACCCCACCTCAACCCTACACCCTCTTAAGGTTCATCAATTATAGGCTTCGGGGATTAGGGTTTTGGGGTTTGGGGGGGCCCTAAACCCTAAACCCTATATACCCTATATGCCCTAAACCCCAAACCCTATATACCCTATATGCCCTAAACCCTAAACCCTATATACCCTATATGCCCTAAACCCTATATACACTATATACCCTATCTACCCTAAACCCCAAACCCCATATACCCTATCCTATATACCCTATATGCCCTAAACCCCAAACCCTATATATCCTATATACCCTAAAACCCAAACCCTATATACATATATATATATATATATATATACGCTAAACCCCCAAACCCTATATACCCTATACCCTAAACCCTGTATACCCTATATGCCCTAAACCCTATATACCCCATATTCCCTATATACCCTATATACCCTAAACTTCCCTAAGCCCTAAACAGTGCCAAGACACCGGCTGGAGGCTTGGGATCCGGCCTGCGGCCTGCGCGCAGCACTTGGCAGCGGCAGCCTGGGGGGCCCCCCCACAAAGCACATCTTATAGGGCTCCTTTAAGGGATCCTTAGGGTTCCTCAAAGGGATCTTTAGGGCTCCTTTAAGGGATCCTTAGGGTTCCTTAAGGGATCTTTAGGGTTCCTTTAAGGGATCTTCAGGGTTCCTTAAAGGGATCCATTATAGGGTTTATTGTTTAGGGTCTACTTGGGTACGGCCCCCATACAGTAAGAGTCTAGAATAGGGCTACTATTAAGGTCCTAATATATCTATACTATGAATATAAGCCTGGAGAGCCCCAACAAACCCAGAGACTCCAATACCCCTTAATTAAGGAATATTCCTTAAATCACATTAAGGATCCTACTATTATTTTAGGTATATTCCTTTATTAAGGGGTATTGGAGTCTCTGGGAAGCACATAAGCAAAAAATAGGACAAGGTTGAGGGTTTAGGGTTGAGGGGTTGAGGAATTTAGGGTTTAGGGTTGAGGGGTTTAGGCTTTAGGGGTCTAGGGGTTTAGGATTAGGATAGGGATGTCCCATATAAACCCGCCTGGAAAGGAAGGAGACTAAGGTAGAGATATCCCCACAAAGTGCTTGTGCTTTGGTGCTTTTTGGGGTCCCTGAGCCTGGGTTCAATTCGGCTCACAGCTCTGGGCCGTACTTGGAGGCTCGTGGGTAGTCAGAAAAGGGTGCTCATAAGGTGCCTTTTAAGGGATCTGAAAAGGGCTCGACTTGGAGGTTCATGGGTCCTTATAAGTCACCGAATAAAGGCTACAGCTACGTACAACTACTGGAAGCAGCAAAGGAGGCACCAAGGGCTTGGTTGGAGGTTGGAGGGCAAAGCAGCCGCAGAGCAAAGCAGCAACAGATGGGAGCCGCCGAAAATGAAGGGGTACCTTATTTGGGGGTCCCTTATAGTAGGGCCCCTTTCTGTTTAGGGTACATTTTTAGGGGTCCCTAGGGTACTTTTTTTGGGTCCCCTTATTATTTAGGTTCCAAGGACTCAAGGGGATGCGATCACGGTGTAGGGTTTAGGCGGTTTCGGGTTTAGGGTTTGGGGTTTAGGGTTTTAGGGTTTAGGGTATAGGGGTTTAGGGTATGTTTGATTTAGAAAAATAACGAGCCAGAGAAAATCTTAAACTTCTTATGACTGAACTGCCTGAGCAAGAAACTTCCAGGCAGTTAACCAATCCACGCCGGAAAGGATTGGCGGCACCCTCAAACCCAGAGAGCCCAATACCCCTTAGTTAAGGAATATGGCTTAAACCATAATATGAAGCCCTATATATACACATAATTTTAGCCATATTCCTTCATTCCCTTATAGAAGCCCTGTAGATCCCTTTCAGAAGCCCTTTAAGGAACCCTTATTCCGTAGTTGAGGGGTATTGGGCTCTCCGAGAATCCCACCAACTTTGACCTCCCGAGGAGACATGTACCAAAACCTTACTCCTCAAGCCTAACCCTAAGGGTCCAAAGGACCCAATAATTAGGTACTCGGTTTTAGGATAGTAGTCATGTAGGTTAGGATTTGGGAGAGTTTATGATTATTAGGTACATGGACCCTTGTGGTAAACCTCTTCATGACTCCTCCTTCTTCTAAGCATTAGGGCCTGATCAACGGAGCCTTATTGATTGGAATAGGGGTATGAAGGCCCTGGACGGAACAAGGAATAATGTTGAATATTGGGTAATCATTAAGGCATCTATGTTGGGCAAAGGCCCTGGCTGCAAATTCAATGCCCTTACCATGTAAAGCTGAAGATACTATATTGAACCTGAGGCTGGTGGAATAATGAAGTGTGCTCTAGAACTTTGGCTGGTGAGTACATGGATAGAGTTTGCAAATCAAACTGAGAAAACTTTCTGAATGCAAAGGCAGCTGCGTCATTGTGGAATCAACCGTGAAAGCAGGCGTGGCATCAGGAACGGCCTGCACTTCAAGATAAACTATCAATACCACTACCACTACCCCTAACACCACAACTGAAACAATTACTTCTACTACTACGACCACGACTACCACTACTACTGCTGCCCTACGTTTGAGCTGCGGTTTCTTGTTCGAGCCTCTTTAGCTGTGGTGGAGCAAGCACGTCATCAAGCCCCCCCCACACCCCTCCGGAAGAAATATGAAAGCGTAATCGAACATCCGAGAGCAACATGCAGGAATCAGTGGGGGCGCCGATTGGGCCCAGCCCTGCTACTGATACTACTACTACTACTACTCCCTATGATTCCAACCACCCTAGAAACCTAGGGCGTTGCCATTACCACCCTACTTTGTCCCGTGGTTGGGAAATCGTGGCCGAACCACCTAGTTAGGGACCAAGCAAACCCCCTTCCATGAAACAGAGACGATCCTCCGAACAACCTCAATTCGACCCGACGATGTTCAAGAGCCTGCGGACCCGAACCACCCTGAAATGACCCATTCGAAAGTCGAGGAATGGAACTCGAACCACCCCCAAAGAGACCTCAACAATATGACCCTAAATCCTCAACCCTAGGGCCTTAAACCCTAGACCCCTAAACCCTAAATTCTGGGGTTGAAACCCTAAACCCAAGGGCCCGAAACCCTGAACCTCAGGACCCTGAAGCCTCAAGCCTAGGGCCTTCCTAAACCCGGACTTTTAAACCCGGCCCCAAATCCTAAACCCCACAAGAGCCCCACAACCCTAAACCCAAGGACCCAAAAGCCTCAACCCTAGGGCCTTCCTACTGGGTCGGGTGCTGTGGCTTTGGGGCTCTGGTACTTTCTCTGGGGTCGGGGGCTCGGGGACCAAGTTTGGCTGGGGGTCTCGCGTTGAGGTTTGCTGCTTTGCTTCGCTCAATTTCGTAGACTGGGCTTAAATTTTGGGGCCCAGTACTGGGGCCTAAAACCCTAAGCCAAACCCTAGGACCCCAAACCGTAAACCGTCGGACCCTAAACCCTAAACCCACCCCGGAACCCCATCGATGTTTTCCGGGCGCTCGGGATCACGATCGTCGAGCCCTTTGGGCCGCACTGGCATTCAAACCCATTCGGCGAACTTTATATTTCATCGCCAAAAGCCGGAACCCGGCAACTTTGAGGACATGCCTTTCGTAATGTCGCCGCTTGTTGGACCTCGCAGAAAGTCCTCGGATTCAGAAATTCTTTGAGGGGCCGAACTTATATAGTGTTGGGTGCGGGGGTATTCTATGATGGCTTTGGGGCTGTGCGCTTCAGGGTTTGGGGCTCAAGTTCCAGGGCCCTCATAGGTCGATTATGGCTTTTCCAATGCCGACGGGGCTCTTTTCACATATGACATGTGGTCCTCGTCGAGGGCTCCATGAAGAAACCTTTGATTCATACCTCAGAGCAGCAGCAGGAAGCTAGAACACGGTCGTGGCCCGTTTTGCCGTCAAGTGTCACCAATCTCGGGTCATGATGAGCTGTTCGTGGAAGGCCTCGGCCACGGCAGCCCAATTGCAAACTCCAAGCCCCCACCGTAGTCGCTGAGCAGAGCACATGAAATTTGGGTTTCAGCAGCCATCTTTTCAGATTCTTCCTGCCGAGGAGAAATGTGTGCAAAGGAATCCCTTTTCTAGTGAGGAGCCCCAGCAGTCCTTTGGCACAGCCTTGTGAGGGCCACATGTGACTCCAGGAAGCCGATCCCCGCCGAATAGAGCTGCATGGCTTCGTCCACAGTCCTGGATTGATCGGGCTTAGGGTTTAGGGCTTCACGTGCAGAAATCCATGAAGCCAGGTTTCAAAAACCGCCGGAATCCCTCGGACAAGTCCATATAGGAGCTGATGGAGGTCCTCGAATGAGAAGGAGAATACCACTACACATGATCAGAGACATTCCTGTCTAGCCACAGAAAAAGAAAAAGGAAAGGGTGAAGGCCCCAGTGAAATTGAATGAGGGTGGAGCCGAGGGGCAGAGCATGTGTCATAAGACACAGCTCATCGCTGGGGTTTGCAGTACCCTGCCAGGCCTTCTGTGCCTCTGAGGCAAGCCAGGAAGCAAGAATCCTGCTGTTGAATCCCTTGCAACTCATATATGCACCATGCTTCGCTTTGTAGAGCATGCCAGGTGTAAACGGCCGCTGAGAACATGTAACCTTGTTGGCAGACTTCCAGTCGCAAAAGTCGGCCCAGGCCTCTTGAAGCCGAATTTTGATGTCGACATCCGGCAGCCCCCACCAAGCCATGTCCAGCAGGCATGCCATTGCCCCCCCATTGGCGGTCCAGAGCCTCTTCGGACCATTATTGCTCAAACTCGACAAGCGGAAAACCTTTTAAGGACAAATGCTGCCAGGAGACAACCCCAAGTACAGGTTGTGGAGCAAACACCACGTGACCTTGGAAGGATGAAAGTCTGTCAGCAGCACCAACGGCGAAGCGTCGTGCTTTGAAACCTCAGCCAAAAAAGCAGGAGTGTCCCTGAAATCCAGGTCAGTAGCCAAAGGCAGGTCTGCCATTCTTTGCCGCACCATGCGGCAATGGTGGCAAACCAAAGGAGCATTCCAATGGGATCGCAGGGATAGGGCCTCACGAAAATACTTCCAATCCCCACCGATCTCGGTGACGATGAAGCAGCGACCGTCCTGGGTCAATGGGGTGGCTGCTGCCCTGTTTAGAGCAGCCACGATATGACCAATGACAGGTTTCAGGGTTGCCCAGCCGAGGTAGCTGTCATCCAACGACAAGATGGAAAGCAAAAAGCGCGAATTCCTCGCACTGCGTGGCCGCCACAACGGACAGCTGAGCACGAATGCGAGGGCTTTGTCGCCCATCCTGCAGTTCCACAAACACCAAAAACATCTGGAAAAAGCTCATGTTCGAGTAAAGCCGAGATGCTGGTTGAACGTAGCATCGTCGCCGAAGATTTTCAAGGGAATCGGCCATCCTCCTGGCTGGGTCGAATAGTCGACGTCTTGAGCCCAAGGGACTCCGGCTTGCTTAGCCTGCGTCCAATAATCCTCGATGCTCTTCGAAGAAACTTTGAGACCCACCTCGTTCCAAAGAAAACGGAGAACCTCGTCGGCATTGAAGATTGGAATATCCTTGTATTCTATTTTGGTTTCGCTGACTTTCACAGGCACCGAGCACGAAGTCATCTCCTTATATCGAGCTTGCAAGGGAACAGAACACGTGTTATCGTACTAAGAACCACCACCATAAACCAAATCCCCAAGCAAGCTTAAAACCAACAGCCCCGAGCTTGCACTGATAAGAAACCCCACACAAAAAATACAATCCTGACGTAAAGGCTACTGGCCCCCAGCCCTTATTATTTCTGACCTATAGCTAAATCGCGACCCGTGGCTCGAAGGGAAGTTTCGCGAAACGTGTAAAGTTCCGGGCAGCATTTCCCCGCCCTTGGTAGCTCGCCAGCTTCTTCGTTTTCGCAGACGAATGGCCACGGCTATCCTGGGGTTTTATTCGAATTCAACTCTAAACCTGAACCCCTAAACACTATTTTTAGATCCCCTAAACCTTCAAGTGGTTTTAGGGTGTAGCCGTACGTGTATAGCCTGAGGATGGTTTGCGGGTTGCAGCGGGGTTCTGGGCTTAACCTTTAGGCTTCTACTCCAATTAAGGCCTAAGCTTATATTTATTTTACAGATTCCTCAAAACGTGGGGCCCACTCCCTCAGCACACGGGTTGAGCCTTTATGGGGTTCTATATGTTGCGGCTTTAAGATTTGGGGGCCTCGTGGTTTCGGGAGTTAAGGGTTGCGGCTTCGGCGGTAAAGCCATGCTCCTTGGCGGCTGCAGCTGCCGCCTTCATCTGTCTTTGGATGCTCGAGGCCTGGGCCAAAGCTAGTACAGTAATCAGGGCCGGCGTGAATACTATCTCGGGTCAAACCAACCAAGAGCCATACCCCATCACCAATCTCCTCGAGCATATGCAAGAAAAAAGGGGCTTGATTTTCCAGATCTTCATCCTCCGTACCTGGCATGCGGCTGCCGAAACCAGGGGTCCATGGTTGATTGTGGGATGTGCTTTGTACTGCAAGAAGCCACTGCAAGGTCCTTTTCATCGTCGGTCCGGGCCATAGCTAGGGGCTGGGTCTAAGGATTCGGTGCATTCCCCCTGCACGAACCCAACCAGCCCGTGGTTTGCACGAACAGAGAGCCCTCAGGAGGCTTCAGAATCGTCGCATTTGCATCATCCAGATCGATCTAAAGCGATCTGACAAGCACAGACACAGTGGCATCTGCACTGTGTCCAGGCTCCACGTTAGATCTCGATCTCTAGAATACGATATACATGCACTTTAGCTTCTCTAGCTCATCAGTACAGGACGAGTGCCCCTAGCTGACGATCAGCTGTTTGGCAGCAGTGCCTAGCTACGAAGCCTAGAGCTAGTGATCAGGATCCTACTTGGAGCCCGGCTTCCCCTGATTTCCCTCGTCAGTTCTCTTGGCCGACAGCAGGAAGCGGTCGATGGCGTCGATCAAGCCGAGCACCACAGCCTGCTGGTCGGGGATCTCCTTCACCTGCCGCTTGCTTGGGATTTACACGGGGTTCAGGGGGCTTCTATGGCGAACTTGTGTTAGGTTTGGTGTTTTCGGTGAAGGTTCGGCTTTGGCATTTGCATGCACTTTGGGGTTTAGGCCTAGCCATGGGCTTTAAGGATTTAGGCGCTCAGAATTTGGGGTTTACCAATTTGGGGATGATGGTGTACTACAGCAGATTTTGCTAAACCTTTCGGGCATTGTCGTGCTGCTGCTAGTAATAATTACAAGATCATTCTGATATGCCCCCTAAACCCTGTAAGCCCTAAGTATATAAATAAATCCCTGATATAGCATGCAATCCCTCAACCCTCACCCCTCACCATTCTCTTCCAAAATACGGTATAATATAGGTGCCCAGACCTTGCCAGCGTCGATGAAGCCCTGCAGGCGGTTTCGCATCTTGCACACCTCCTTGCTTTTGATCTGCAAGTCGTCCAGGTAGGCTTTGCGGAGCACATCGGACCTCCAGAGGCCCAGAGATTTCGGGGCATAGGGTTTAGGGTTGAACCTGGGCCACATTTGCAAAGTTAAGGGCAAGAGATTGGTTGCGAGGGACATGTCGGCCAGCTCCGGCGACTTCATAGTGAGCTTTCCCACATACTGGATGCGATTGTTCGCCGTTTGAACAGCCTGCAATCCAGGGATCTGGATGGCCTAGACGACCCCCTGTAATGCTCCTGAATCTCTGGCCTTCTCGGCATCTTTCATGACATCCGGCGGGCCCTCCAAGGCCTTCGGCTTCCGCGTCGCGGCTGCTTTGCCCTTCGCCTGGTGGGGCAGGACGGGTCTTTCGGATTTCTTTATGTTGGTTTTCGGAGGCCTAAGGCCTAAGGGCACACCCCAGACATGATATGAACCCGTCTTGTCATGAACCTGACACCGAAGCCATAAACTGATAACCCTAACACCGTACCATAAACCTGTGCTGCCCCAAACCCTGATCCCTAAAAACCAGAAGCCCTAAACCCTATAGCACGGGATTTTCACGAGGGTTTGATTATGGAATTCTGTGTTTGGGGCTTTAGAGCTTGTGGGGCTTAAAGGTTTCCAGGGCGAAAGGGTCTCAGGTTTAGGTTTCGTGCTTTGGGGTGTATAGGTTTCCCTGCCTTGGCCTTAGCAGCACGGCCCTTGGGGTACTTGGCTCGGCGATTGCAGCCTCTGTTCGGGGAACCGCCGTCTTCGGACACCGTGAGAAGCTTGGAAATCCAATCTTCTTGGATATCCTCCTCCGCCTCGGAGTCTAGGATCCAGAATTGCTGGGCCTCCTGGTAGCAGGCGGCTAGAAATTGCAAGGTGCAATGCGTACGGCTGGATTGGTAGGACTTAACTATAAAATGAAAAATTATGTAACACAAGCCTTGACCCCCGGACAATCGGGATGATCCCTGATTTCGGGAGAGTCTTTCACGGACCGCTTGTGCTCCACGATGGCGTCGGCCACTGTCTCACCCAGCTTGCTGACTATCTCTTGGTAAGTAAGCCACTTTTTGACTCCCTTCCGAGTTTTGGTGTTCTTCGAGCACACGTTTACGTAGACACAGGACTTTCGCCAATCGCCCTCGGCATTGCACCAGGACTCGAAGAGATAGTGCAGACAGGTGAGTCCTGGAACAGGAAAACCCAACACATATTAATACTTGATTGTGAATCATCAGTACACTGTGGGGCTCTCGTCTGAGGCTTGGGCTGCCCTCCCCAGCCGACTTGGCATTCTCGCCCACCGAATGGATCTGGCTCGGCGACCGTGGGCCTATGTCTCCAAACAGGACGGGGTATACTAAACCCTATAAGCCGACATGATATATAGTGTAGATCAAGGGGCTGTCGAGGCTCCTCATGAACCGGGCCCACTTCGCATGTGCCTGCAAGTAGGCTTGTCTCTTCTTAGCCTGCTTGGCCTCATCCTGCTTTGAATCCGCTTCTGCGGATGGCTCCTCCTGCTGCTCCTGGCCACCTGCATTGTCCCCTGAAGCCCCAGGCTGTTGTTCCCACGACTTTTCCCAGCCCCCGCTCCACCAGCTGCTGTTGTTGCCGTACCACCAATGGTTGTCCTGTCCGGCACTTGCATTCCAGGACCAGGAGCTCCAGGATTCATCGGCCTTCTCGGCAGCATCCTCCTGGATGGGTTTAAGGGTTTAGGGTTTCACGGTTTAGGCTTCAGGGTTTTGGGTTAAGGGGTTTGGGGATTTGGGGTTAAGGGTTCAGGTTTCAAGGTTTACCGTTAAAGGCTTTGGGGTTAAAGTGTTTAAGGGTTTAGATTTAGAGGGTTTGGCGTTCAAGGGTTTTGGCTGTAAGGTTGAAGGGTTCAAGGGTTTTCAAGCCCTGCAAAGCAGGAGAGCATGTTTGTATCCTCGGCGACAAGTCGGAGGTTGGAGACTTTTGGGTTGAATCGTTTGGGGTGTGAGGGTTCGTGGTTTTCGGCTAGGCATCGCTAGCATGGACCACAATCCAGGGAGAAACATGGCTTACAAGGCTGTGCCATGATGCGATCTGGTCTGTCCTGCTTGGCGATCTTCTTCGGCGGCTCTGCGACCTGTCTCGAGCAGCTAGGGTTTATGTAGGGCTCTCGGGTTGTAGGGAGAGGGCTTTTAGAGGGCACCTAGTGGGGCTATCGGGTTTTTAACCAGGGCCTGGTGGGAAGACTTCGCCGGGGTCTGCTTCTTCTCGGATTTGCTGCCTTCCTGCGTGCAGAGTGTGTGGGCTATTCTTAAAGAAAGCACCCTCGGAATCCTTCGGCGAAGTCTGCTTCTTCTTGTTCTTGCCGGCTTCCTGCGGAGTGGCTTCGATTCTATTTGCTTTGCTTTTGAATTTGGAATCTTAAAGAATGCCTCCTTCGGCGGGGTCTGCTTCTTCTCGGGCTTTTTGTCTTCCTGCAGGGTGACTATATATCGATATCTGCTGGTTTAGAGTAGGAGATTGGGATCTTAGATCGAGTTAAAGCCTCCTGGGAACTCTTCGGCGGGGTCTGCTTCTTCTCGGGCTGGCTGTCTTCCTGCAGAGTGACTTATCACATGTAATTTGCAATAGGAGTTTAAGGATCTAAAAGAAAGGCTCCTGGGAACTCTTCGCCGGGATCTTCTTCTTCTGGGGCTTGGTGTCTTCCTGCACACTATATATATCTGGTTTAGCAGGAGTCAGGGATCTTAGCAGAGTTAAAGCCTCCTCGGAACTCTTCCGCGGGGTCTGCTTCTTCTTGGGCTGGCTGTCTTCCTGCAGAGTGACTTATCACATGTAATTTCCAATAGGAGTTTAAGGATCTAAAAGAAAGGCTCCTGGGAACTCTTCGCCGGGATCTCCTTCTTCTGGGGCTCGGTGTCTTCCTGCACACTATATATATATATATATATATATCTGGTTTATTATTAGCAGGAGTCAGGGATCTTAGCAGATCAAGGCCTCCTCGGAACTCTTCGGCGGGGTCTGGTTCTTCTCGGGCTGGCTGTCTTCCTGCAGAGTGACTTATCACATGTAATTTGCTAGGAGTTTTTAAGGATCTTAAAGAAAGGGTCCTCGGAACTCTTCGCCGGGGTCTGCTTCTGCTCCGGCTTTCTCGCTTCCTGCAGAATGGGTGTTAATTGGATTTTGGGATCGCTTATTATTTGAAAGGCCCCTTAGAATCCTTGGGCGAAGTGTGCTTCTTCTTGGGCTTGATGGCTTCCTGCTCAGTGTCGCGAATTATTATAATTTGCGTTGGAGTTTGGGATCTTGAATCAAACACTGCTGGGAATCCTTAGGCGTGGTCGGCTTCTTCTCCAGCTGCTTGTCTTCCTGCAGAGCGACTTCTTGCATTTGGTTATATGTAGGAGCACCAGGGTGTAGGGTGTAGGGCTTCGGGGTTTGATTATGTTTTTCCCGAACCGGAAACTCAAAGCTTCAGGTTCCAACCTCTGCAACTAAAGAGCCCTTCGGGGCGAGGGTTATGTAGAGGCCTTGATAAGAAGTAGCTATCGAAGAGGTCTTGGGGCTAGGGCCCGTGTTCAGGACTTTGGGTTCAGGGGTTTGGGGTGTAGCGGTTAGGGTGTGATGTAGGGGCCTCTATTGATATGGGTCTTTACCTGGAAGGGGCCTGCGAGATCCCAATTGGGTGTAAGTTTCGGGTCCTAGATATTATAATCAGGGACCCATCCACCCGTCTTTAGAAATGCCAATCACTGCTTGTGCACGGGATACGTTTTGTCGTGTCTGTCGACGATCAAGTCTTCTCTTGATACATGTCTCCCGCACAGATCAGATTAATCCAGTGTGTGGAGGTCACACGGCGGGAAGGCTATGGCACATACAGCCCCTGTGACTTGCAACTCTTGGAATGCCGGCGAACAGAAATGCATCTCCGCTTCATTCCGTGGACCCAGCACAGAATAGTACAAGGATGCAGGAACGGAATAATAGGATAGCGATATGAAGCATGACGAAGACAGAGCCGTCACGGTACGGAAGAACACAAAATCCAGCTTGCAGCCCTCCAGGATCACATTGTCCCAACGAAGTTCATATGGAGTATATGCACCAGGAGCCACTGCAAACATTCCATGATAAGGCCCCCAGAGATGCAAAAGGTATTCGCTTCTGCGTTCGATGAGAGTGAGGTGCTCATTCCACCTGCCATCATAGTCGTCCCCTTCATCGAGGATAATCGACAAAAAATAAGAAGAGCCTGCGAAAGCGAAGACTCTATCCCAGAAGACTGCGATACCTGATACAGTGTCCATGGCGGCAGGCAAGTACTTTGGGATTCCAATAAAGCAGAGCCAGAAAAAGCTTTTGTGGCAAGAAATCACAGGCGTCGATTTGGGATTCGCGATACGGGGTCTAGGCTTTAGTGCGTGCTGACGGACCACGGCATTAGGCTTCACTCGGGCTAGCGGCCTCCTCCGAGGATTTCGGCGACTTCTTCTGCTGCGGCTGGCCCGGCTGGCTTGTGTCCTGGCCAGCGACGAAGTTTGAAGGTCTGGGGTTGTTGGGGTTTCGGGCTTGGCCTTCCCTGGCACGGGCGGCGCTTCCGGCTCGTCCTGACAGGATGCAGTCTAGCTATAATTTCAAGGCGACGAGAGGCTTGGAAAACAATGGCCTCTGCAGCTTCCAGATCAGATTGCAAGCTTCGGCGAACATCCTGGATCAAAGGGGGGATGTAGAGTTTAGGGGCTAGGCTACACCAACAGATGCGGGGGGAGGGGGGGTCCTTGGTCTTGATCTTCTTGGGTTCGGCAGCAGCAGACTTCGGGTTCTTCGACCACAGAGCAACATCCGTGGATGCATTGGAATCCTGCACAATGGGAAATCAGATCCCGACTCCTGTGCTCCCTACACTAGAGGAAGGGGTCCTGTGACTTGGCTCGCTTCCTTCTCAGGACCGGCTGCTCTTCCGGGGTACCTGCTGCATGCGTGTCTGTGTGTGCTAACTGATCACGACGACAGAGGCACTGCGGTGGCCTGTGCCAGTGGTGCAGCTGCCGATGCTGCTCCTTGGCCGTTATAGGTGGGCTTTTTTTTTTTTTCCTGGGGCTTCGGGCTGGCCTGGAGCTTTCTTTTCGGAGTGCATGTCGGGCTTGGCGCCCGTCGGCGAGGAGCTGCTCCAAACACAAGGCATCCATGGCTGCCGTCGTCGGCAAGTAAAGCTGCTAGCTAGAGAACACCCTCGCCAGCAAAATGCTGGCTGTTGCTGGAGCACAAAACCACAACCGAAAGCACGTGTGCGAGTGCCCAGGCGTGCCACTTGTGCACCCGGCCGGCGACCTTCTCACGGTTTCTCACGGTTTGCTCACGGTTTCCATTAAGAGCTTTGCTAGACTTAGGCCAGGCCAAGGATGGGCCTTCTCACGACTTCTCACGCTTATCTCACGCTACTTTGGGGTCCTAGTGTTTGCCCGGAATGGCTGGCCCAAGCAACCGGAAAAACGGCGATCAGCTGCAGCAGCCCGGCGTCAGGTCCAAGTGTCCTGCCAGAGCTTGCCGTCACACACCGTAACCCGACCGTACCCTGCCCCTACCCCACCTAAACCCTACCGTAAATAAACCCTATCCCCTACCCCTACCTATACCCTCCCCCTCCCTCTATGCCTTGACAGCAAGCACCATACGGGCGACTTTTTTGTCGGCGGCTCACTTGCGTTCCACGAACCAGTGAATTTGGTTCGCATTGTACAAACGGTGAAGCACTCGAAGGTACCACTTGTGGAAGTCTTCTCTTCTTTGCTCAGGTGTTTCGCTGTCGTCGTCCTTCTTCTTGTCACCATCTTTCTTTCTTCTGTCCTCCCTGTTGACGGCCCTGATCGCCCGAAACAGTGCCCGAGTTGCCTTCAAGGCAGCAGCCAGCCTTTCTTTTCGCCTTCTTCTTCGGACCCTTCTGGTGAATCCCACCATGAGAGCTCGAGGCGAGGTGCTGGATCTCCGCCCAACACTAGCTAGCGACCTGCTGGATCTCCGTCCAACAGTAGCCAGGGCTTTGAGCACAGTGCTGCAGCAAAGCATGTATCACAGGGTTAACCGCTATTTATTATGTACACCACGAGAACAGTTGGGCTGAAGGTTTTGGGTCTGCTTCTTCAAGACAGGTTGGACGATGTCGTATATGTGTGGAGGGCTGGAACAAGTTCGGGCTAAGGGCCTCCAATACCCATCAGTCTAGGCTTTGGTGCGTGCTTTAGGCTTCCCTCGGGCTATCGGGCTCCTCCGAGGATTTCGGCGACTGCATCTGCTGCGGCCGGCTCGGCTGGCTTCTGACCTGGCGAGCGACGAAGGTTTCTCTTAAGAGGGGTTTAGGGTTTAGGATCTTCCAAAAGGGTGTCCTTCGAGGGGTTTCGGGATTAGTATCTTCCACAAGGGTGTCCTTTGAGGGGTTTCGGGATTAGTATCTTCCAGAAGGGTTTCTCTGAGGGTTTTAGGGTTTAGTTTGAGGCTTTCTAGTTTCGTTAAGTTTTGGAGTTGTAAACACCCCCCCCCCAAAAGGGCTTCTTTGAGAGCAAGGCTTAAGGGCAGCAGGGTTCAGGCGATTTGCCAGCTTCCAGGTCTAGGGTTTCAAGGTTTCGGATGATATATAACCATGCATGGTCCTGCAGGATGCAAAAGGTAATCTATAATAGTGATTGCACCGGGTCAGCCAGCACAGCATGGGACACCTTTTTTTCCTTCGGCGGGCTAGGAGGTGCGTCCTTTCATAGCCCGGATTCCGCACCGGCCACCGGTGCAATGCGATTATTAAGGTCATATCGCTTTGCGATATGAAAAGACTTGCATGAGGCCTTTGACACGCCTCGCACAGAAAACGCCAGCCGGCTAGAAGCTTGCCAGCCCTCATCGCTGTGAATCCCACATCACTCTTCACCTTTTCCCGGCTGTCCTGTGGGACCTGCTCCCTCACCGCTGTGAATCCGGCATCACTCTTCACCTTCTCACGGCTGTCCTGCGGGACCTGCTCCATGAGGACCACGTGCACCCCATGGTCCTGCCTGTGCGACTGGCACAGGAGCTGGCACCTGCTGCGGAGGGGGCGGCGCCATCTGCTGCAGCAACTGGGTGATCGTCTGCACCGTTGCAAATTGCATGTTGTAGACCGGGCCTGAGTAACACATGCTGAATGAAAGAGTCCAGCAAAAATCTCACGTATTGATCTTTAAAATTAAACAAAAAATTATATATATAATTAAATGCCAAGATGCTGCATAGCGAAGAAATGGTGTGCACCTCCAACATCACGGAATACCATATATCGCATTGCTCGCGAATCCAGACATGACGTGAGTTGCTGGCCCTCGCCATCATTCCTTCGAGCAGCTTGCTCATCGTCTCTGGGTTTTGCAGCCCATGAACTTGCACCGCCAACGGCGAGAGCAGCTGGAGCGTCAGCTTGGACACCTTCTTTCCCGAGCCCAGAAAGTGCTCGTGGAACTCATTGTGCCACCAACTCTTCTCGTCGGGAGGAAGCATCTGAAACTCGTCGGCGTAGCTGCTCAACCAGCGTTGATCCACCAGCCCGAGCTGCCTCTGAGCCTCAGTCCAGGCTTCCATGCACCGAAAGTACGCTCCAGTGTTCATGGCTTTAAACCCAGATCCGGCAGCCTACACTTCAGCAGCAAATTTGAGCCGCGAAACTTCACGTAACAAAAAACTGTCAATCAATGCATCATGGCTGCCATCATCTCCCTCATCAGCGACACCATCCGAACCCTACACCTTAATCATCATTAAGAGCAGGGTTTACAGGCTTAAGGGTTCAAGGTTTGGTGTGAAGGCCGTAGACCACCACCACCAGAAATGCTAAATCCTCCGAACCTCACACCTAAAGCCCCTGAACCCTTTGCTCCCAGGATGGGACCTGCTCCTTCATTTTCTGCTCTTGGGCCGCTTCGGCGTGTCGGCTGCCTGGCCGCAATAACGGTTTCAAGGCTTTAGGGTTGTGACTCCCAGAGTGTTAGCAAACTGGCATTTCATTGAATAATTTTTTTTACACTAATGTTACGGTTTTGCTATGATTTCAAGGATCCTTCCGGTTACGATTATGATACGATTTTGACATGGTTTACGATTTGGATACGGTTTGGATACGGTTTGGATGCGGTTCTGATACGATGTTCATACGATTTCGTGAAATCGTAACCAGAACCGTATCAATATCTTAAACGGGAAAACCCCCTAAATCATTTTATATATATATATCATAAAAATAATTCCCGGCGCATACCCTTAGTTTGCTATGTGTGGTATAGGGTTCAAGGCTTGGTGTCAAGGCCTTACACAACCAACAACAGAAATGTTAAATGCTCTGTACCCCTAAGCCCTTCGGTCCTTATACCCGCCAAAAACAATGGAATTACACCCCTAAGCCCTTATACCCCATAAAAACAATCCAATGTCCCAGGATCGGGCCTCATCGTTCTGGCGCCCTCTCTTCGGCTTCTTCGGCGTCTCGCTTGCCTGGCCGCCATTAATTAAGGCAACATGGCTTATAGGGTTTAGGGGTTAGGGTTTAGGGTTGAGGGTTTAGGGGTTACGGTTATAGGGTCTAGGGTTTTCAGGTTCAGGGTTTACAAGGGATTAGGATTGAGGGTTTAGGGTTTAGGGGTTCGGGTTTAGGGGTTCGGGTTTAGGGGTTAGGGTTTAAGGGTCAGGGTTTAGGGCCTAGGGTTCAAGCCTCGGATCCACAATGTTGCTTCGTGGCCGCCATAGGGTTTGGGGTTGAAGGGTTCGGGTTTAGGGGTTAAAGTTTAAGGGTCAGGGTGAGGGTTTAGGGGTTAGGGTTTAAGGCTTGGATCCAGCTGCTTCGAAGCAGAGTCGCTTACGGGCTCTCGGATTACAGGAATTGAGCGAGGACTAGCCTAAACCCTAAACCCGGCCTAAACCCTATATCAAGAGGCTCAAGCTGATCATGCTTGGCTGCGAAGTCGCCAGTCGTTTTCCACCAGTAGAATCGGTCTTCCCACTGCTGTTTGCTCATGACCTCGATAGGGTCCGGAGTCGTGGGATCTGAGGCGTGTCGAATGGAACGGGGTCGAGCCGTGTTGAAGGCTTGGTATAGCTCGAGCTTGAATTGGAGCTCGCAGAGCTTTTCGACCAGGTCCCCGACTGAGTCGATGCGGGAAGCGTTCTTTTCCTCGGATCTCTCCAGGTTCGTCCAATCTCTCCGGGTCGCCGCACTGGATGCCCCAAAATCGCCGCCCAGCTGGGTGCTGGCCAGCCTTCCAAACCCCTAATCCGGCAAAGCCCTAAGCGCCTAAGGCCTCAAACCCTCAGGCCCCCAAATCCTTTTTCCCGAAACCTTGACACTCAAGCCTTTAGCCTTTAACCCTAGGGCACCGAAAACCTTGAAGCTAAAACCTGAAGAAAATCAAGCCGCTAATTCCGTCCTAAGTCCTGGAACCACCAACCCTAGCTCTGTAAAGCCTGGATCATACCCTTGTCCAAAAATCAGATGGGACAGATCTATATATAAACCCCGCACACCTGATCTCACCGTACTTGGAAGCTCAAAGAAAATTATTATAATCCCACAACCCGAAAATACCGGAACTCCCCAAATCCTTATTGCAACATCCGAGGAACGTTTCTTCAACTATATCTACGTGGATGGCCCTGGGAGATCTTAATCGGGCCCTGGCATCACATTAAATGTTGTCGGTCTTGGGCCTTTGGAATCGACAAATTGATCATAGTAGGGAATGGGGCATGGATCTCAGGACTAAAGCGGGGCGTGGTTACTTCGTCCGTGTACACCCAAATAAGCCCTGAAGTTTGGGTTTGGGGTTTGGGGTTGAGCTTAGAGACCGAAATCCTTAGCAGATCCGACAAGAACTCCCTGGAACCCCTTTTTAAACCTATCAACCCAGAACAGCGAAAGGTCATAATAATTGAAACCCCAGTCCTTCGAAGCCCTAATCCAATTCTGAAAACCCACTAGGGCTCCCACGGATCTCGAAGATCGTGATGAATTCGCTGATGCGGGACGGGGTGGCTATTTGGGGTTAGAAGCCCACAGACCCTAGACTTAGAGTTTCGGGGTTTCGGGTTTAGGGTCGTCTTAAGCTTTTATAGTAGGTTTGAGGATTTCAAAGGCTTCCGGAATGACTCTTGGAGGTCCGAAGCCATGAAATCCGAAACTACCCATAAACCCTAAACCCAGCACTGTAATGCCCATAGGCTTCAATGCCGAGAGAAAACCCAAAACCAACATTCCCAAATAAGCCTGGCCTCCTCAAGGTCATTCCAGTTCGCAGCGATGCATGCACGGTGCCACCTCGGAGGAGGGGGGTTTGAGCTCACAGTGAAATGCAGGCAAGCTTGGGAAATTCCTGAGTTCCGTTCGCTGTCCGGAATCCTTTGTGAGCGGTCCAACAGAAGTTCGATCCTTTCTTTTTGTTCACCTGAGCGGGCGATCGTGGAAAATATTATCGATAAAGGATCCTCTTGACTAGCCTTGACGTCTGTCTTCCAGGCTCGATTGCACTTCTGGATGTGAGGCAGCGAGGTCTTGTTGACATAGAAGCAGCCAAGCTGAAACCTGTGTTCCAAGCAGAGATCGCGATTTGAAGTCAAACTGTAAGCTCCATGATATTAATTGCCAGGGAACAGAACAGCAATCGTAGATTGCGAGTTGCTCTGCTGCGGCAGCCGACACGTGAAGGACCTTGGTGCTCACACTGCCAAGACTTGGATTCGCTCGCAGCCACTGGGCATAATGCATGCGAGTTGCATAGTTTCGTCGAGGACATCCTGGGAGGGGACCTTCATGCGACTGTCGTCCTTGGCAATGGCCCGGATGGCACGGATGTTGCGGTCCCTGTTCTCCTGCCCGGGCGAGGGGGGTGTTCGGTTATTCGTTCGACGACCCTTATAAATTATTTTTATTGGTCCTTCTGGTAGGCACTGAGCGACGTGACTCGCTTGCATGCCTGGACGATGTTGGCTTCGATTCGAGCTTATTTGTAAAACTGGACATTGCAAGCCACAGACAGTCCTCCTCCACACTGGCGGGCGTTTCCACTTTCTCCTGGGCCCTCGGCTCCTTCTTTGCTTGTCCCTTTGCTTTCGCCTTCGGCTCCTTCTTCGCTTGTCCCTTTGCTTTTGCCTTCGCTTTGTTCTTCGGCTTGTCCTCCGCCTCCTCCAAAAGTACCTCATTCGTGGCCTTCTCGTCCTCTGCATCGAGATCGTCGTCCTCGGCCTTGACAGCCTGGTCGTCCTTGCTGCCCCTTGCGAGGCCTCGTCCACGACCACGGCCACGGCGGCCACGGCCGCGACCGCGTGGATTGCCTCGCCCTTGCACTGCCTCGTCTGTCTGCACCTCCGACAAGGTGGCGGCATTCCGGATCCTCTGCTGCACCTGCCAGAGCACGATTAAAACCGATCCAACTTAGAACCCGGGGCCAAAGCTGATAAGTAAACATCCAGGACTTTTTAGAAATTTGTAGAGCCGAAGGCTTTGGGCTGAAGGAGACATTGCGGAATCCATTATAGCATAGTCCCACATGATGTTTGGGTTCTACGGTTTCCTGGTTCATGATAGAGATTTCCAAATTGCTGCTTTGTCGGCTTTTATAATTCGGGCATTAGCTAGCTAGCCCTGGCAGTGAAACTTTTTGCGTCACTCATGCGACAGAGCCGGTTTCGACGAGTCAGCCGCTGGCTCCTGGGTTGAGGGTTTACAGGGGATTTGGTATTTCTAGGCTTTCTTGGCCTTTGGTAGGCTTTAGGGGTTTGGTGGATTCTAGGGATTTCGGTGTTTGGGCTTTCATATAGGTTTTCGGGGTTCGGGTGGCTTTAAGGATCTAGGGATATCGGTGGTTGTATAGCGGGTTTGCGAGGTCCCTGTCCTTCACATCCTTCTCGCCATGCTCGGAAGCGGAATCATCCTGGGCCCAGCTATTATATAGAAGCCCCTGACGGAGTACTCCCATAAGACCCCCTTTACCTTATAGGACTGGTATGGGAGGCTTATGGGAAACTACAATATATAATATGATCTGATATATCCGAGCCACGATCTCGTAGACACCAGCGAAGCGTCGCTTCTTTGTAGATGGCTCCTGCAGGGCTACACACCCAACGGAAAAGCCCGTACATGAAGCCCAAAACCCTGAAGCCCTAAAGCCTGCACTAAGTCACTAAGCCCTCGACTCTACCCGAAAACTCAAATGTCCCAGCCTTGATTTTGGAGGTGTGCCCTCCCTCGGAGCTCGAGTCCCCCTCCACTGCTGGCCGATCCTTGGAAGGACTGAGTGTACACAAAACCCTGAAGCCCTAAAGCATGCACTAAGCCTGTACTTTACCCGAAAACTTCATTGCCCCAGCCTTCAAAGCGATTGGCCGCTTCTTCGTCGAGTCCACTGCAGGGTCATCCTGCAGGGACTAACTGATTATAGCGAAAGATACATCCACCCTACACCCCAGAATCCTTCAACCCCTAGCTTAGAATAGCCAAGCAACTCTCGGAGGACTTGGCTCATCCTGCAGGGATTAACTGCAGTTTATAAATACATGCACCCTACACCCAGAATCTTTCAACCCCTAGCTTAAAATAGCCAATGCCTCTGTGCTCGGCACATGTGTGCTCGCCGCAATAGGCCAAGGCCCAATCATGGGCGGAAGACATCTCGGAGGGCTTGCCGGCGCACGGGGCGGAGGTGGGGGAGGTGGCAGAGGCGGAGGCGGCGGTGCCAACGGAGGTGGTGGGGGGGGGGGGGTGGGGGGGGGGGGGGCTGTAAGGGGGGGGGCGGTGGGGGCCTCCCCCACTTCGACCGCAAATATTTCGCCATGGCTGAGCCCTGTGCACCCCTGCAGCCGGAAAGGCAGCAGTTATGTGCAATTGCACCCAATCCATCCAACCGCATGCTATCGCTACTTCAGGTTTTAGGGCTCGGTTGTTGGAAATTAAGGGTTTGACAAGAGGCTTTGGAACACATCAAGACCCTTACATTCCATATATGTACCGGTGTTGGGTTCTGGGTGTCGGGTTTGGGCAGCACCTCCTCAATTCTCCAAAAGCCACAAAGCACACCCGGGCACCTGGAGGACGTTTTCTTCGCCAGCCAGCTTCTTCTGCAGCTTCTCGGCCGCCTGCTGCAGTCCCTGACTGACTGAGGCTGCAGGCCTCTTCATACCTCTTCGCTCCTGCCCATGACAAGTCTTCAGCACTATGTACTCCTAAGGCAACGAATGCCTAGACAGCACAAAGCCTGAATCCTGAATGGAATCCTGCACAAACCCGCCAGGGCACTGCGATCCGAAAGCCACAACCCGCCCCGAAGCAATCCTTCTGGGCATCGGCATTCTTTTCGGCTTCTTCTCCTAAGGCTTCTTCGGCTGCAGCTGCCTCGGTGTCGCTGTCCACCGGCGTCGGCGGGGCATGGGGCTTGCAAGGGGTCTTTGGGAAGCCGGTAGGGTCGTCGGGGTCCGGAATGATTGCATCATTATCCATCTCCTCTTCTTCACCGCCCTCCTGAGCGTGGTCGGCCATGTCCTCGTCGTCCAAGTACTCAGCGGGTCCTGTGGCGGGGATTTAATCTCGGACCCAGGAGATCCGGAAGTTTAGGGGCAAGTTTGTTGGGGGTTCGTGATAGCTCGGGCTCCTGGGCTCAAGGCTTAAAGAAGTTAACCGATCCTATCACATCCCAAACTTGCATACTGGATCAATTGGGGTTTACGGTTAGGGTTCTGTAGAGCTCAAAGTCGGAGAATTCCCAACCCTTTAAACCGCCACCCCGCCTGAGCCTTCCGAGAAGTCTCCCCACTCCCTGGTCGGCAGCCGATTGGGGTCTTCCACAGGAATCTTTCTCTCCTGTGATCAGAGTGCGAGGTGATATATTACAAATCGTTTGGATTCACTTATTCGGTGTCCTGATCTTTTTCTTCTTGCAAAGTGTTCACCAGCTTCTTGAGAAGGCCCATGTTCTTGCTGCCGGTCCTTTGGTCTAGAGCGAAAAGAGAGGGATTCTCAAGAAAACCGAACCTGGCCGGCCTGGTGTCAGAGTTACGGCGGCTGCGGTCCATGACGTGCGACATCAGGGCCCTGTGCAAGTCCCCCTCGGTTTTCGCCCACGCCTGCCCGAGAAACACCGAATATTCCGATGGCTTCGTGCAGGCTGGGCGGCTCGGCGTGAACAATTTCCTGCCTCGCGGGCTGCATCAGAACACTTCTTTCCCAGAAGTTTGCGATCGCTGGCGACGTTCTCAAGGGCTGCTTTCGTCTCGGCAGACGTGGGTATCCTCAAGCCTAGGGTCGTCAGGAGCCTCGCGACCAGCTTCGCGTTGCAGTCGTCCTCGACCTGGGCCGGGTTTAAGGGCTTGGGCATCAACCCCCGAAGCAGGAAACCCTAAACCGAGTACGACCGGGCTGGGTATTTGGGGTCCCAAATATTCTAAGGGTTTGCGGTTTAAGGCTCAGGGTTAAGGATCGAATATATTGAATATATGGTCCATAAGACGAAATCTTCCTGGCGATCTGAAGGTCCGAAAGCCCACAACCCCCAGAACCCTAAGCACCTCATCCCGGCCGATGGTTCCGCCCCGGAGGTTCACGAAGGAAAACACCACCGGAGCCTTTCAGAGGCTTGTGGCAGCATTTACAGGGCTAAGGCTTTACCCAGATTTGCGGATTTGTGTTTGCAAGAGGGCCTTCCCCTGCTTCAGCAGCCGTTGCATCTTTTCGGCTCGCACATTGTTCAGCTTGCACAGCTCCGTGACCCTTCTCTCCTGGTAGTCATTGGCCTCCAGGATGGAGGTGTAGAGCTCCTGACAGACAAATGGTAGGCAACCACCCTGGAAACCAGCTCCCCAATCCCTTGTGCCTGCAAAAAACGCACCCGAAGCGACGGAGGCTTGCTCTTCGGCATCCGCAGCACCAGGGCACCAGCAGTGCTGATGCGTGGAGAAAAAAAAGCTCTTGAGCACCAGCAACCGCCCGGAAGCTGCTTTTAGTAAGACATGACCTCCATACTACCCACATGCACTAAGTCAAGACTGGCCGGGGCAACCGCCGGAGTCCGTCTCATTTTCCACGATCTCATTCTTAATATCCAGACCTTGAGTCCAACAGAAAATTAGCATCGATGTCACGTGGAAACCCCTCCCCGAGCAGCTGGGATCACTGCGAGAAAGCAAGGCCTTTTTCATAGCCAATCATCAGACCGTACCTCAGGATCAGTACTCTCAGTCAATTCCCTGCCAGAAGCTTGGGCACCAACGGAATCTCCTCGATCGGCGCCAGCAGAAATCATCGATCCGTACCTCGCTCCCCGTAGAAATCGCTAGGATTAGACCTCTAAAGTCGAGATTCTCGGGCACCAGCCCAACAATTCGGAGATCGGCACCAGGAGAGCCCGCCAAAATCCATATGTACCTGGGTGCAGGAAAGTGCACAGTTTTACACAGGAACCGAGACCCTGGGGCACCATCCGACATCAGCGAAGATCGAGGGCACACCCATGGCGAGCCGGAAAAAACCCTGACATCAACCCTGTAAGTGCAGGGCTGTTTCTCTAAATCATATTATTACATGCGGGGCGGGACTAGAGGGCCTTAAAGCTTGGGGCTGAAATTATATATGGAGTTGGGACATCGTGTGGCTTGGGGCTCGGTACGTGAACTCGCAGCTTAGCGGCGGTTCCACAAGCAAGGTTTTGAGGGTTTAGGGTTTCAGGGGACTCAAAACCCCAAACCTTGAACCCTAGGGTTGGGAGCCGCTTGGTGGGATAAATCGGGGTCGTTTCCATTATGTCGGTGTAGGGTAAAACAGGGTGGTTGACATTGATATTGTGGATTACTGTGTCGGGGCAAAATAGGGTGGTTTCCATAAAGTTGTGGTTACATGATCTACAACATCAGGTGGGGAAAAGTAGGGGCGCTCGGGGCCCAAACCGGGTGGTTCGCAACCACCCCAAAAACTATGGTCGAGGAAGCACAGGGTACTACTACTACTACTACTTCTTCTTCGTCTTCTACTACTACTACTACTACTACTACTACTACTACACCCCCCCTGCCAACTACACTTGTTACATCTGGGCTGGGCAGCGGTAGCTGCTAGGCGCCTTAGCTGCGACAGTTGCAGAAATTGCACGGACTCAGGCTCCCTATGTATGACAACTGCCTTAACTGTCACAGCCGGTGAAGTTGCAGGGGCTCAGGCCCCGAAACTGCGACGGCAGCTGGAGTTGCAAGCTCGACAGGGAAGAAACTGCTAAACCGCAGGTGGTCGGATAGTACGAGAACGCTGTAAATAGCGTGAACAACGCAGGTGCTGCCAAAAAGGGTTTAACATTTCTAAAACCTGAAGCGCAGTATCTTCTAAACATAAAAAACAACCGTGCCAGCTGTACGTGGGAGGGGCTCGCCAACACCCCTACCGCCCAACCTCGGCGTAGGAGGGTCTGTTTTTGAAGTGGTGTGTGTGGTGTGTGTGCGCGCTTGAGTGTGGAAATATTGTTCAGGATGTCCGCAACACAGTGTCGTGATCATCCCCGAAGAAGCTGTCCCCCACCAAGTTTCGAGTCTTTTTGCAAACAGCTCGAAGCAGCAAAGTTGAATACGCATAGTCGAGAAGTCTGGGCTCAGAACATGTAACAAAGTCTGACATCGCGAAAGTACCGTAAATACCGACTTAAACGGCTCTTGTGGTGATACTGTTGGGTGTGTTCGCGTAACACTGTCGTCATCATCCCCCCCCCACCCCCTCACCCACCCCCAGAAGCAAGTCCAAAATCAAGAGCTCGAGTTTGCAAACCCGACAAGTCGTTTCTGAGGCCTCTTATGATGATCGCACATGACGAGAGTGCCGTAAATACCGAGTAAAACGGATGTTGTCTTTACATGGTTAAGAGCTAGTTGGTAGTGGGGGTGCCTACTACGACTACTACTACTACTACTACTCCTCCTCCTCCTCCTGCTGCTGCTGCTGCTGCTGCTACTACTGCTTACTACTACTGCTACTACTGCTTACTAC